TGACAATTCACACAACCATTGAAGCAAATAATTTGATGTCATTTTAACTTCTTTTTCATCTTTGATGAGTTAAATACCAGAATATATCGTTTGCTTTCATTTCAGTTTCAATTATATTACACTTACTTGTGATCTTGAATGTGATCTAAATTTACTGATTTATTAATCTCCTAATGATTAAGATATCTATACGATATACAGTATAACAGTTATGCTTAATTTTTGTATTATTGTAATAGTTAGTTTATAACTACATTAACGTTATTAATAATATTAGATATTAGTATTTAAAGTTTGATTTAATATTTATTAATACTTAATATTTATTTAACATTTAATGTTAAAACATTTAAATTAAAATTTAATTTCTATCAAAGATTTCTTGAATGAGTGGTGAATGAGAAAAACCGATTTGTTTGGCGATTGAAGGGATTGTAAAATTAAGTGCATTTAAATCTTTCAAATTATCCATTAGTCGTAAAAATTTCCTCTTTGACAGAATATCGGAACGATATTTTATATGTAAATATTGTTGTAATAAATATATGTAAAAATTCTGTTGCATTCTGTAAATGAATGGCATTTAAAACCATGAGTATTAAAACAATATAATAACTACATTAGCGTTATTCACATACTTAACAAATTGTTTGTTTATTAGTTTTGGTCGCTCGGGATTGAAGAGAATAATTGCTGTCAACTATAGACATATAAAATAAAAATAGTTATAAATGTGCATTAAAATGACATCTTATTGTATAATTCAGACCAAATCAATGATGAGATGGTCTGAATCCCAATCGAGTCCCATATTTTGTAGGAAATTTTTATGCAACGAATATGTGTTGAGGGCTTCGGCGGCGGGAATATCTTTGATGAGTTTTAGCCGAATTAGGTTTGAATAGTTATTCTGTTTATAATTGGAAAATTAAGTGACATTTTTATTAATTTAAACAATAATTGCATAAAACACACCTGAATTATAGTCCAATATTCATCTTCAAAGTTAAAATTGGAAATCAATCGCAAAAAATTGATTTCAAGTGAAGAATATTTAATTAAGACTAATTGATCGCTTTCGCAGATTGTGTTAAATCCGTTCAAACATTTGCACATTTTGACAATATCTCTGATTTCTGTTTCCACTTTTGAATGCATAATAGGCATGGCTTTGAATATACTGTCCACAAGTGTCTGACCCATACTTACCGTCGGTTTTTGTAAATACTTCAATGCATTAAGTAATTCATTAAATTTATTGACTTCTAATTCATTGAAACTAATACTGCAATTAGAAATAGGCTTCAGTATAGGAATCACCATAAGTTCAGATCTATTCTCTGTTGTTTCACATGTATTACTATTGTTTCCTTCGATAAACTCTTTACTAATGATTTCCTTATCTAAACTAATATTTTCTAAAACATTTAAAGTGTGTAAGTCTTGCGATGAGTTGTCGTCAAAGACAAGCACTTGTTTTTCCGCAAACATTGATTTCTTTCTTTTATCTCTATTTTCTTCAATTAAGGCTTTTCTCATTCGCTTCCTTTCCTCCGAATAAATCAATTTCTAGTTATAATTAATTGAGAGTTAAATTACTTTTTACATAATTTCTAAATGTACAATGTATATCAAAAGTTTCGTACACTTTTCATTCCCATTGCAAAGCACTTTATTAATCGACATTTTTTGCAAGACTTTCTGTTTTGATAACTTGTGGGACAATTGCCTCCCAAATAGCATTGAAATTCCTAATGTTATTACAAATAAGTATTATTTTAATTATTTTCCATTTAAATGATATTCTCGACAGTATTTCACAACATTTTTCAAGGCATGTCTTCTAAAAAACGATTTACACGACTCACAGCTCATGACATTAAAGTGATGGCCTATTAGGAAGTAACAGTAAATTTAACAACATTTTAATTTACATTTTGTAAATAAATATAAGTTTTATACCATTAGATTTAGCGCCACATATCATACAAACTTTATTCTGTGTTTTACTCATTCTTTAAAATATTCTGTTGTAATGTTTCAAAACAAGAATTTTTCAAATAATTACAATTTAAATCAATAAAGTATTTTGCATTTAGATTATATAGAAATTATTAATTGTTTAATAATAGACAGTTCAGCCATTTTGCAAATGCGACCTTGGTTCATTGATCATTTCTTATCGTAATGTAATAAGATGATTGCAAATAAAGTAATATAATTATTTAACAATAATTCCAATTCAATATAATCATGGTGAAATATTTAGCACAATCATGGTTATATTCCATAAGTACGGTATATGTTAACTAGGTAAATTAGGAATATTTATCGCGTTGATATTTTATTCTAAATTATTATTATTATTCTAACTTGTTAAAATGAGTCTACTATTTAAATTTAAAAATTACTCCAATAAAATGTCAATAATTTTCAAATAAATTATCATTTATTAATAATTTGTAATATTATTTTAATTACAATTGGAATGAATATATAAATATTAATTAATTTGTTATATTTTATACATATATTTGTCAATAAAAGCAATCAATGAATCGTTGGGTGCGTTTTGTGAAGACTTGATCACAAATAATGGACAAAACATTCGACAATTTCAGAGACTAATAGAAGATCTGAAAAATATTTATAAAATATCTCAACAATCGTTATATAATAATAAAAGTGATGCTAAATA